GGGAACCGGTCTCCACATGGGATCCGAACCCTCGGCGGGAGCGCCGCCGCACTCTCAAGCGGCGCACTCTCCAGTGCGCCACCGGGCCGGCCCTCAATTGTGATTTTTTAACTTTAAGTTATTAATAATGTTGGCCCCATGCTAAACTATCCTTACACTAAAAATTTTCATACCTTTTCTTTTTCTTCCTTATCAACTTTCATTAATTATAGCATTTCTATTTGTCAGATACTTACCATATTTACCATCTGTACTGTGACTATAATTTTTATGTTTGTTTTACTCCTAATTCTACAGTTCAATGGTGGGTTCAAAATTCAATACCAGCTCTTCTGCCATAGCTTTTATATTCATCTCTTAGTTGGCTGAAGTTGTTTTTTGTGGGGTTTCTTAATGGAAACTTTATTTCCCAAATTTTGGCAGGTTAAGATGCTTCTTTATTGTCTTTATACTTGAATGATAGTTTGGTAATTTTATTATAATAGGGCTTGACATTGATGCCTATATCAGTTTTCCCTTGGATGCAGTATGCCTTTTCAATCATTAGATTTGAGTCAACTTTTGTTATTAGGATTGTTTTATATAATATCCTTGAAATAACTGAAATAATGGGTATCAATTAAGCACATGTTGGCTCTTCTCTCCCTGTCTTCCTTACCTTTCCTATCATTTAATAAAACAACACATAACTAAAGAAAACTTTATTTCTGCTTTTTATTTACGTCTGTCCATCTTGGACTCTGTGGCCCTTACTGTGTTTTCAGCAGCATGTCCTTTTCTGTTTGCTGCTTCTAATTAGATTCTATTTCTGGGAGGGTGTTACTTTTACTTCTACTTTGAGTTTTGCCAGCTCATGTTTCATCTCATTTTGTAGTCTTACCTTTCTCTGAGCTCTTTCTTGTGAGCTCTGCTCTTTTGTCTTATTTTTCAGAGATAACTGCTATACAAGGATACTTCAAAAAGTTTGTGGAAAAATGGAATTAAAAGGTAATATGAATCTTTCCATGAACTTTATGAAGTACGCCTAGATGAGATTATTTAAAATGGCAGTGTAATAGTCTGTTTCTGTTGCTTATAACAGAAATATCTGAAACTGGGTAATTTGTAAGAAAATGAAATTTATTGCTTACAATTTTGGAGGCTGGGAAGTCCAAAGTCCAGGGAACACATCTGGTGAGGGCCTTCTTTGGTGGTGACTTCATTGATGCAGAGTATCAACATTGCTGGAAAGGCAGAAGCAAGAGACAGAGAGAGAGACTCTCAGAACTCTCCTTTTAAAGTGAGCAGAACCATGCCCATGACCACCATTAAACCATCAATGAATCAATCCAGTTACCAGGGCATGATCCTCATGATCTAATTACCTCTTCAGAGCCCTACCTTTCAATTATCGTAATAGGATTTTCCACTCTCAACAGTTACAGTGGAGATTAACGTTTATTGAGTTTGGGGGACTGTCAGTCAATTTTTGTCTGCTTATTTATCGTTTGTATTTTTCTTATTATTTTCCTTTTCTGTGTATCTTGTTGTAGACCCTGTTGTATTTCTTTTTGACTGGTACTCCTCTTCCAATGAGAGGTATTCTACTTGGTTCATCTTTTTGCTGGACATTGATAATGGTGAAGGGCGAAGGCTGGCTCGTGTTCTTGGGGCTGTGTGTACAAACAAGTTCTTTTCACTTTTGTTTCTTTCCAGATGACAGACTTGGGGCCTTACCACACAGTTTCTCTGTTCACTGTCTCACTGGCTAGCTACTCTCTTTGAGTAAAGTTTGTGTGATTTCTTCTTTATTATTCTTGAGACCTCCTTCCAAGAAAGTTCCTGCCTTCAGTGTTTGCACTGTTCTTCCTGTCAAATAGGGGATTGTGGGTTTTGCCTTTTCAGAATGTGCCTGTTAATTTCAGAGCACCGTGCACCTGCGGCACCTCTGTAGCCTTGGGCATATTCTGTCAAGGTTGTTGAGCACTTGCCTTTGATCTTCACTGCTTTTGGCAGTCTTTCCTGATATTATGCTTTGAGATTATAGATGATTGTTTCATTGATGATAGTTTGCATTTTGATTTTATATTCTTTCTTTTGATCTTCTAGGGCAAAAAGGGAGGAATTTGCTAACTTGACTGGGTTTAAAAGTGGAAGTCCTGTAATTTTTTGTAAAAATCTGTTTTTTGATTGATATGTATCCTATTAGTGATTTTAAAATATAATACGTTACAGGAACTTTTCTGAATATTTTACTGACCAGTATTTGGCAGCCATTTTGCTTTTATATGTAATATAGAACTCTGCATTCACTTAAGAACACTTGATATTAGGTACTTCATTTTCATAATTTCCATTAGCCCGTGTTAACTATTACTAATTCTGTATTGATTTCTCAATTGTAGTCAAGTAAAGGAGAATTGACTGCACTTGTACATCAGCTTCAAGAAAAAGACAAGTTACTTGCTGCTGTGAAGGAAGATGCTGCTGCTACAAAGGATCGGTGTAAGCAGTTAACCCAGGTGAAGACATTCTTATGTTTAAGAGATATACTTCCCTGAATCAGAAGCAGTGAAAGATTATAGAAATTGTTAACTATCCCTGATTTAATTATTTGTGTAATAAGTTTATACCCAGAAAAAGTAATTTTCTTTCAGAATTTTAGGAGGGGGGTATCTTACTTTTTCATGATATTATATCCCATAGTTGAATTATGAATTTAAAAGAACATTACTTATAGATATCCTATTTTCACAATAGCAGAAGTGTTCTGTTTAGAGCATGGGAATTTGTTTTAATTGGATCTGACTTAGGTCTATTTTCTATAGAAGCACAAAACTTGGTGTGATCTTGTTTAAATCCAATTTATGGGATAAATATGAATCTCTTACATAGGTAATTTATTTATGGAGTCTTGTGATAAGTACTTATAAATTTTAATCAAGTTCTTTGAACCCCAGAAATTTTAGTATGAGCGATTAAAAAAAGACATTTAAAACATCATGTAGACTGGGAAAACAGGATTGAAACTAGAGAAAATGTGGTCTCATTTCTCCTGAACTGCTTGTTTCTCCTTTTAGGGATTAAATACAGTAGAGTAAATGAGGTTTATTTACAAGTCATTCACTTAGGTAATTGACATGGTGAGAATGAGTGGCCTTGTTTGAATAGAAATTCTTTATGTGACTTTGAAGTAAATAAAAAAAGTGGAAAAACTTGGGTAGATTAAGATTAATTAAAGTTAATGGTAAAATAAGCACGATGCCTTACAATTAGAGACTTTATAGATTTATGTGATTATTTTAAAAATTATATTTAAAAAATTAAACATAGGTTAACTATTTACTTTGTGGTAATTCATTGAGCTGCATACTTAAGATTGTGTATATTTCTTTCTAAGCATATTATACATCAATATAACAATTTGCAAATACAAATGAACTAACTCTTACAGGCTGCCATAAATTAAGTAAAAAACTTAAATTTTGTCAAGCAGTTTCTTAGGGTGAGGATGTGGGCTAAACTATACCTCCAAATAACTTTAAAATTTCTTGGATTTCATGTACTTTGATTATTAATATTTGTTCTAGGAGCTCATAATACTTGCAAAACAAAATATAATCATCCTTTTAAGATTTGACTTGGGAAGATGGTAAAACTGCTTTCTGAGTTTTACTTTTCCTTATTCTGAACTTCTGTACTCCTAGAGACATTGTTATCTCTTCCCCTAGGAGAGAGACTTATTTTTTTTTTCCCTTCTAGGCTTTTTTTCTAGGCCTTTTTCTGTACCTTAAAAGAGAACTGGTACCTGGGAGTAAGAGAGAATTAACTTTGCTTTAAAATATTCTTTCTTATAATCAAGTTAGAATATAGGATTTATTCTAAGTTCATAGTCTTTAACTCTTAAATTGGAAAGTCCGTTTGAAATGAGAGTAAACAGAGTGACAAAGTTTATGAAAAGAATTGGTGTGAGGAGCAGGTGAGGTGCAGAAGACTTTTTTTTTAAACCTTTGATCTTTTATTTTAAGTTATTATTATTTCAGCATTCTTAATCATTTTACTGATGTTAAAAATGTTACTATTGTTGGTAGAGTTATAATAACTTTTTAATAAGTGTTTCTTAATTTATTTTCTGGTTTACTCTTCTAGGAAATGATGACAGAGAAAGAAAGAAGCAACGTAGTTATAGCAAGGATGAAAGATCGGATTGGAACATTAGAAAAGGAACATAATGTATTTCAAAACAAAATGCATGTCAGTTATCAGGAGACTCAACAGATGCAGATGAAGGTATATTCTATTCTTTAAAAACAAGAAGAAATGTGTACATTCACTTAATTAGCAAATTTTAAGCACCTAGTATGTTCAAGGCCCTGTGCTGGGCCACTGACATACAGTGGCTGGTTAAATTGACTCCCTGTCTTTAAGTAAACAACTTTTTTAGGTGCAGATGAGTAGGGAGGCTGGAAGCAGATAAGTAAATACACCATGACAGTAGAGATAAGTATTGGGTACTTTGAAGAAATGGAGGTGGCAGGTGGAAGAGAAGGATTGGTAGAGAAGATTTGTTAGAAGTGATATACAGAGGGCCGGCCCGGTGGCGCACTGGAGAGTGTGCCGCTTGGGAGCGCGGTAGCGCTCCCGCTGAGGGTTCAGATCCCATGTGGAGACCGGTTCCCGCTCACTGGCTGAGCGCGGTGCGGGCGCAACACCGAGGGTTGCGATTCCGTTGCCGGTCCCCAGTACGGGCGCGACACCGAGGGTTGCGAACCCGTTACTGGTCAGTAAAAAAGACAAAAAGGAAAAAAAAAAAAGAAGTGATATACAGATTGTGTTGAATGTTTTGAAACAATTCGGCATTGTTGAGCAAGAGTGAAGAAATGGGCACTGAATATGAGTTACTTGGTGTGGTGTGATTCTTAGCGTCATCTCTAGAGATGATCGCTCAGTAGGTCTATTTTGGGACCCAGGATTGAGCTTTTTAATGAGTGCACTCTAGGTGTTTCCAGTACAGGTTATCTAGTGTTAACACTTTGTGAGAGATACAGTGAGATTTGTGGTGTTTGGGAATCAGGGCTGGAATGAAGAATAAAAGATGTAGACAAGTAGATAGGGGCTCGTTATAGAGGGCCTCGCATACTTGAAGACTGGGGAGCCTTTGAAGGAGTTTAAGCAACCCAGATATGTGATTATATTAGTATTTTTAGTTATTACCCTGGCAGTAGTGTGGAGAGTGGAACAAGGGATAGTTGGAAGGCTTTTGCAGGAATTCAGTCAGAGAGAACAAGGGCCTGAAATCAGATGTTGACAATGAGGGGATGAGTTTGAGTAATACAGAAGAGTTAATGAGAAAGGATTTTATGTTGGAATGTAGGAGACAGGTGATAGTGAAGGATGGCTCTCAAGGTTTTGGCTTAAGTGACCTCCTGTCTCTTTTTGTTAGTTCTTACTCTTTCACCTGTTTCCTGTCAACATTTCAAAAGGTTCACTTCTTACTGTCTTTTGTATGTATCATCTATTTTGATGATTCTAGTTACAGCTGGACTGTCAGTTTTTTTTTTTCCCCCTTCTCTCTCTTGTTTTAAGAGATTGAAATATCTTTATTACTGATAAAAGGCTATTGAAGAACATGGCTTGGATCTGCTTGCTAAGTGAGCTTATAATATTCCTCATAGTCAAACTTACTTTATTTGTGTTTCTTGGCTAATGCTTCAATTTGGAAGGTCTGTCATCACCTCAGATTTAACATGTGTCTGAAGTCAAACTCTTGTCTATTGATCAGGTTATTTTTATTGTCTAATATTTGAGGCATTATTATCCTCATGCTTAAATCTTTTGACTTCTCTCTCCCTTGCCTAGTCTAAAATTCGGTCTGAAATCTTAAAGATACTTTATTTCTAGATACTTTTGCGTTCAATTCTTAGGCATCTTCCTAGTTTATTATTTCATAGTAGGATAATTATAGCCTCTTATTAGGTTTATTATTTCCATCTTAACCTGTAATTGGTACCAGATTATTGTTTGTTAAAATATTGCTTTGGTCATATCGCTGGTCTGCTAAAAATTTTTAAATTATTCTTCACTGCTAAAAAATTCCTGGTGTTTTTCACTGAAATGCCACCAGTAGCAAAAAAGTGAGTGATACTGTTGACAGATTCTTACTCTGTCCACTGCTTCTAGCTTTTGTTTATCCCACTCCTCCATCTATCCATCCCCCAATCATTTGAAATATTCTTTCCCCTATCAGTGAAGTGATTGGAAACTGATTTTCTAGCTTTAGGTGATGTTTTCTTCTTAATTCCTACTGTTCATTTGAAAATTAGTCAAATTGTAGCAACATCTTGTATTGAAGGTGAAAGGAATTTAAGTGATTTCATCATTTTTTTTAACTTGATTACTTATAGTGGCCAGGATATAGATTTCATATAAGTTTTCTATAAGAATAGAAACATATGTTAATTTCTCTTAATTGGATTGTGAATGATCAACATTTCTTAATTTCCCTTAAAAGAGTTCTTAATAACATGATTTCACATCCTAAAATAAGATATGTGCTTATGAGAATATAAGATTCAGTGTTCTTTATCTTTTTATTCTGTAATTCTGAAATTAAAAAATTAGAGGTCAGAAGTTAGAATGGTGGTTGCCATGGGCTGGGGAGAGGAGGGAATGGGGAATTATTGGTTAATGGATATAAAGTTTGTTTTATAAGATGGAAAGATTTAATGGGGATGAATGGTGGTTATCGTTACAAAACATTATGGATGTATCAAATACCCCTGAACTGGGGGCCATCCCATGGCTCACTCGGTAGAGTGCGGTGCTGATAACACCAAGGCCACGGGTTCGGATCCTATATAGGGATGGCCGGTTTGCTCACTGGGTGAGCGTGGTGTTGACAACACCAAGCCAAGGGTTAAGATCCCCTTACTGGTCATCTTTTTAAAAAAAAAAAAATACCCCTGAACTGTATACTTCAAAATGGTTAAGGTGGTACATTTTATATTATTTGTATTTTACCACCATAAAAAAAGAAGACAAAAAATTACAGGTCAGAATTTTTAAGCAAGTAGACTTTCATATCATCATCTATTTGCTAATGGCTTAATTTTTAAATTAATACAATTACAAGTGTATGTAATATGTTTTCAGTTTTTCAACTTTGGATTACTAAAAAACTTTCATTTAAAAGTATTGCTAACATAAAATTGACATATTTTAGGATCAGGACAGGCTTATTACTATATGAGTTTATGGGTAAGAAGTCTTAAATCATTTTTTTGTTCTGAAACATCATCTCTATAGGTGTTTGTTTTGTATTTCAAATATGATAGCAGCTAGCATCTACTTGTATTCTTGAATGCTATGGCAGCTTGTATTTATTTTGCAGCCATCACTAACAAAATGTAATTTTTCTTTTAAATTTGTTTATATTTATTTGAGAAGAATGATTCAGACTTCATTCTGTTGATGCTTTTTACATTCTCATCATAATAATGTTTGTTTTAAAAGATAGCTTTGGCAATCCTTGCTTTCTGAATCTTATATGTGTAAAATAATTTCAGTTTCAGCAAGTTCGTGAGCAGATGGAGACAGAGATAGCTCACTTGAAGCAGGAAAATGGTATACTGAGAGATGCTGTCAGCAACACTACAAACCAACTGGAAAGCAAGTATGTTTTCAAATGCTTTATTTTTAATTGAATAGAAGAGTATTTTTTTGAATCATCAAAATGATGTTCGATAGTAATCGGTTAGACTTTTGTTTCTAAAATGAGTTACTTTTGAAAAACAATTCTGTTTTGCTGTGTGAAGTACTTCAGCTATATAGAAATGATATGTTTTATGTATTCTATATAACATATAAAATGTATATTTCTATAAATATACTTGTGTACTACATATTATATATTTCTATAAATATACTTATGTATAAACTATGATAAATACTAGTGGCACCAGTGGAATAGTCTATAAATATATGAGACTGAATTTGCAAATTTTAAACCATTGATCCACTTCTACAGTAGTTCTCAAACTTCATTATTCTGAAGAGTCCCTGGCACACTAGTTATAAAAGCATATCCTCGAGTCCTACCCCTAATATGATTCAATGGCTCTGAAGTGGAGCCCAGGAATCTATACATTCCTTTTTTTTTTTTGTCTTTTTCTGTGTCCGGCAACGGATCGCAACCCTCAGTGTTGCCCCCGTACCGGACCGGGGACCGGCAACGGGATTGCAACCCTCAGTGTTGCTCCCGCGCCTCGCTCAGCCAGTGAGCGGGAACCGGTCTGTATGTGGGATCCGAACCCTCGGGCGGGAGCGCCGCCGCGCTTCCCAAGCGGCGCACTATCCAGTGCGCCACCGGGCCGGCCCTATACATTCCTTGTTAAGACAGATTCCTTGTGCTAGTGATGTAGTTGGCTCTGGGGCTGTACTTTGAGAAACAGTACCCTGGAGAGACTAGTAATATGCTTACACAGAGTAAATACTGATTGGTTGTTTTAATAGGTTTTCAGAAGACCAGTTTGAAGGTCACACTATTTATGTTCATGAGTTTGTGGTCATTCATTTTTCTTGATATTTTATAGTGATTTTAGGGTTTGTGTAAATGTCATTAGAGTTGTTTAGGAATTACACTCAACCAAACCTCATTGTTAGTAGTCACTTGTGTTTCTTTTCAGTTGGTTATAAATGGAATTACTAGCTCAGCAAAACTAATATAAAATATGTTTTGTTAATTTATTCCTCATACGTGTTTGTAATAATGGAAGATTCCTAATCTAGTTACTGTTTTCAGGCAGTCTGCAGAACTAAATAAACTACGCCAGGATTATGCTAGGTTGGTGAGTGAGCTGACTGAGAAAACAGGAAAGCTACAGCAAGAGGAAGTCCAAAAGAAGAATGCTGAGCAAGCAGTTACTCAGTTGAAGGTGATATATTCCCACCTTTTTATCATTTCATGAATAATGTAGATATTTAATTTGATGACCTAAATGTGTATATAGGTTTGAGAAATATAGCTTGAGGCTTAATAGGACCTGTAGTCTGTGCTCTGCCTATATGAAAGCATGTGCCCTGATAAAGTAATTGGATATAAGCTTGAATATGAAATTAGCTAGTTATGACAGGTATAAATAGTACAAATTTCATCTTTTATATGGAGTTTAGGGTCTACGTGTATAAAGCAAAAATCATGTACTCAAAGTGACCATCCATAATTTGGATTTCTCAGTAAGTCCAATAGAACCTATTTTTATTCCAGCTTCGGAATAAATGGTATTTCTTTTGCTTGAGCACAAGAATAACTAAAATGCTTCAGTGGCTTGCACTTAAGCCATAAATGTACAAAAAAATCACGTATTATATCTTTAGACTGCCAGAGTGGCAGTTGGTACAATGAGATGCTCATACTGTGAAGAGATGCATGGGGTTGCTCAGGCTGAGAGAGAAGATTGATTTCTCTCATATGTACTCTGGATCAGTAAAGATACCATATAGTCTATTGAGTGAAATGATGAGCAGAATAGTCTATTCCTCCTTTTACTGAGGAGGGGATTTGTTGAAAGTATAGTTCAGTTTGTCTGAGTTAAATGCAACCTCACTGTATTAGACAGATTCCTACCTAGGTCTTTGATATGGTCGTACCTTGATACCAGTTCCAGAGGAGTAGGAATTAAAAGGGCTTTGAGACTCATTGAGTGTGAAAAATAGTATGAGTAACTTAGTTTTTCTTGAAATTTTCTTGGGTTCTGTGGGAGGTTGATATAAGTGTCCTTTTATTTAATATTGATATTGCTGGTGGGTTTACATTATAGATATGGAAGTCTATTTTCAATGGATATGGATAAATAGATAAATGACATTAAAGATTATAGTCGTAATTAGAATATTGCGCTGTAAATATATGCACCTCAAATTGAATTTTAGGTACTTAATGAGATTTAGAAATAAAGATACCCTATTGTCTTTTGGAAGCTTATCAGCTGAAGAAAATTAGTGGAAAACAAGACATAGCTAAATGGCTCAGATATGTACATAGTAGTAGCTGTCTGGATCTGACAGCACAAATACTGAGTTTCTGAAATAATCTCCAATTTGTAAATCATATGTATTGGAGAATAGGATGGCTATGGCTGTTAAATAAGTGGCTTTCTGACTGTGCATATCTGCCTATCTTATCAAACTGAGGGGAGTAGTTCCGGTAATCATTTTTGTGGCCCAACAGTGAAGGGAGAGGATGGTTTTATTCCTCTTGTTTTTAAAGTTGAAATCCTGTGTTTGTGATAATTTATCTTTTCTCTCTTTTTAAAAATCAAGGTTCAACTACAGGAAGCTGAGAGAAGGTGGGAAGAAGTTCAGAGCTACATCAGGAAGAGAACAGCAGAACATGAGGCAGCCCAGCAAGGTAAGGGGAAGAGGTAGTCATGTAAACTTTGTATATGATTTTGGGTAAAATTTCCTCTCCTTTCTTTCTGTGAAGAAATTATAATTTAGCATTTTGGTTATAACTCAATAAAATAACTTTTACACTTTCAGAATATCTTTTTCTCTGGCATTTGTTAGGGTTTTAAAATAAACTACCTACTATCTTTGCCTGAAGCCTTAAGTTGCAGGCAAAATTATAGTACATAAGCAGGAAATGGTAGTCTAGCTAGGTGTGTTTCTTCTCTGTAGTTATTCCCTTTGGTTCCTTGATTAACTCTTTATTTTTTTGTTTCTAAGAAAAGACTCATGTTGTGAAGAGAAAAACAGCAAGAGCATTACCATTGCAAGTAGTTTACTTAAAATTCCTACTTTACTCTTAATATGATGGATCCACTTGGGACATGATGGAGCTTGGATTATGTCTATTATTTATGTCTCCCGCTCCTCCCTTTCTCCCATGAGAGAGGGGATGAACTAGTAAAACATAGTTCCGGACAACAGGATAGGTCATAAAGAATTTTGGCTCATTAGACCTTTGGTTTCTTTTGATCCCCCCATTCCCTGCTCTTTGAATATCCCTCTGGTTCAATGTCTAAATATACCTAAGATATTTAAAGGCCTATTTCTTTTTATGTAAAGTTTGTATTAATGGTAAGATACATTGTTGTATTTTTTTACACATTTTGTTTAAAGGATTGTAACTATAAACTACAGGAAAGTTTTTAAAAAAGTTCATGGATGGATTAGTATTATCTTTTTTTTTTTTTTCGGGGACCGGCAATGGGATCGCAACCCTCGGTGTTGCGCCCGCGCCACGCTCAGCCAGTGAGCGGGAACCGGTCACCACATGGGATCCGAACCCTTGGCGGGAGCACCGCCACACTCCAGTGCGCCACCGGGCCAGCCCAGTATTATCTTTTAATTCTATTTTTTCATGAGCATTTTGAAGTACTCTTATATAAAACTATATGTAAAATATATAACTACGAACAGTAAAACCTTAATCTTACCAGAAGCAGTCTCTTTGAACTATTACTTTTTGCATTTGGTGTTTTACTTCATATTTTTAAACAAACATAATATTTACATACTGCTATATCTTGATAGGCATCTGACATTCTATTATAGAAAATAAGATCTTAACATTCTCACACCATTCCTCCCACCTGTCTCCCTCACTCTCCCGATATGGTTATGCATACTTTTTGATTATATCATTGTTCATTGTTTACATCATTATGACTGTGTAACTGAATGTTGAGCTGAGATATATATTAAAATGGCAATTCTTTTCTTGAGCAACTTTTATATTTCCTGGAGCTAATTATTGATTTATTTTTTCACCTGCTTGATCTTTTGTTTTATTATTTAAATTTTCGACTATGGTTAAGATCCTCTCAAGTGTGCGTCCCCCAACCCCGCCCACCTCGCCACTCAACATATTAGATACTAGAATGTTTTTCCTGGCCATATGCCTCCTGGAGGCTTCAGTCTTCCTGCTCTAGTAGTTTGTTGCTTTTTAGCCTGGCTGCATAGAAAGTCCAGAGACTTGCTTTTGTCCTGACCCTGTTTTCTAGATCCTATGTTGCTGTTATTTTTCTTCATTTAATAAGGCATATCTTTCAGTAGCTGTGTGAGATTGTGCCGCGAAGTACACAATTTGTTGAGGAGTTGTGTATCTGAAAATGTCTTCTACCCTCACGTTTGACTGGTAGTTTGACTGGATTTAGAGTTCTAGGTTGGAAATAATTACTGCACACATTTTTGAAGACATTAATTCAGTGTTTTAACTTTTACTGTTAGTGGTAGGAAATAATTTGTTCTGAATTCTAATCCCAGATGTGAAATAATTTGTTCTTCTGAGTTCTAACCCCAGATATGACTATTATATGTTTAATTTTCAGGAGTTCTTTTTTGGGTTGCATTACTAATTAGAGTCTTGTTATAGAAATGACATCTTACCTTTCTTAAAATACATACGTACACATATATATATTTTCTCCTCTTCCCAGCATTCTCTTTCTATCCTTGGAGGTGGTGGTGTGTTCCTCCCCATACCCCTGCCCTGTTTCGGACTTGTTTATGTTAGGGGGCAGGGAGGCGGCTCTCATGATAACCTGGTATCTTCATTTCATTAGCCTTTCTTGGTTTCTGGCACATTTTCCCTTTTCTCTTCTCTGCCAAGTTAGTGATTATTTCTTCATTTGCTTTGTCTTCATTTATTATGTTTTGGAGTTACATATATTTTATGATTGCATCAAAGACAGGTTGTGTTTGTTTCTTATTTTTCTTGTCGTTTCGAGGTTATTTCTAAGAAGAGAAACAGACAGAAAAGTTATACATCATTTTAAACCAGGACATTTACCAGCCTTCACATAATAGATTTCTTCAGTATCTTTCTCTGTAACAGAGTACAAGCTATTTCCAGGTAGCAGAGCATAGGGAATTTACAAGAAATTCACAAATAACTTTATTAAAGTATCTTTGGGGAGAAAAAGAGTGCTTTTAAAGAGTGGATTTTAAACATCTGTATACTATTCAATTAACACATTGATGCACTCTGCGCCAAGCCTCGGGCAAAAAAAGCAAGTCTCAGGACTTGCTACAGAGCCAGCCTAGAAAGCAACAAAGTACTAGAGCAGGAAGACTGAAGCCTCCAGGAGGGATATGGCCAGGAAAAACTAATTCTAGTATCTAATATGAGTGGCAGGGGGGGTTAAGTGGGGGGAGTGGAGAGAGCTGAGGGGAGTTTAACTGTAGTCAAAAATTTAAATAATAAAAGATCAAGCAGGTGAAAAATTAAAGCAATAATTAGCTCCAGGAAATATTCATTTAATACATTTATTATGCAGTATATGCCAAGCCTTGGGCACAGCTCTGGATATACAGGCTATCTCTGATCTCAAAAGGCTCACTCTGTAGGACAAGAGATGAATTTGTACAGTGTGGTGGGTGCTATGATAAAGGTAAGCATAGGGTGTTGGGGGAGCATACAGGAGCAGAAGAGATTCAAGGAAGGTTTTCTGTAGGAGATAATGCCTACACTAAAGATAATTAGGAATAACTAGGCAAAGGAAGAGACCTTTGTAAAATGCAATGTTGTGTTACAGATTTACAGAGTAAATTTGTGGCCAAAGAAAATGAAGTACAGAGTCTGCATAGTAAGCTTACAGATACCTTGGTATCAAAACAACAGTTGGAGCAAAGACTAATGCAGTTAATGGAATCGGAGCAAAAAAGAATAAACAAAGAAGAGTCTCTACAAATGCAAGTTCAGGTATCTATTTTTTCTTCTTTTTAAAAAAATTAAGGTGGGTGGCGATTGGAATATGTGTGTTTAAAAGAGAGAGCAAGGTCTGGTCTACTTTGTCTTAATTCTGGAGTGGGGATGAATAATTATAACTTACTCTTTCAGCACTTGTCACATACGGTGTGTTTGAAGATTTGCTCACTCACAGTCTTATGCTCCTTGTATTAGATTAGGAACAGCACAATTATATCCTTAATTTCTACCTTATGAATGAACTCAGAATAGAATGCCTAATCATTGTTTAAAATAATGCCTTGTAGAATCTAAGAATATCTTTTAAAGATAAACAGAGGTCCCTGTAACACATCGTGTTCATATACATAGGGATATTTATTAATATCACCTTTTTTTCCTCTCTCATTGGTTGCTATTTATGAAAGGATATTTTGGAGCAGAATGAGGCATTGAAAGCTCAAATTCAACAATTCCATTCCCAGATAGCAGCCCAGGTAATGGTACTTTTTTATTGCTTATCATTAGTAATAGCTTCCTAGCCATTTAAACAATCAGCTGAGTGTCTGTTGAGTACCAACTATTGGATTAGTAGTTGGGAGACTAGTCAATGAATCAACAAATGATGATCTTGAGTGCTAAATGATAATTATGTACAGTGCTATAGGAAAACACTAAGAAAGAAGTTCAAGTCAGACTAATGGGAAAAGAGCTTTTACCATACAGGAAAAAAATATTCCCAATCCTGTCACAAAATGGGGGGAATTGGCCAAGTCGTGTGTAGAGTAGTGATTTATGTATTAAAGGTGTTCACTAAATATTGACTAGCCATGGGAAAACCTCACTAGCCCTTGGTATAGCAATGTGTTAACTATAGCGCTCAGATTATATTTGCAAAAGGGTCAATTTAAAACTTATACTTCAGTTTGGTTAGTGGTAAGCCTTCCAAAATTTTGCAAGTGGTATTGTAAGATCAGTGATTCTTTGGCAATAGTGAAAACTTCCAAGTACTTGTTTTTATAATGCACGTATTGTGAACTTCAATTTCAGTTCTTCAACTTTAAAATTCTAAAATTTGTTTGTAGCAAAAAGTATTAACTTAGAATAGAGGTGTGACTTTTCTGTGTAAAGAGTGGTTTTCTCATTAAAAACTTGTTTTTAAGGTTCAGACAAGTCCAAAAGCTTTGAGCATGTAAACATTTTTTTCCCGATTGCTTTCTTTGTAGAAACTATAGTCTAAAATTAATTGGAGAATTATTTAATATAGGAAAGGGTGTTGGTGTGGGTGTGTGTGTATGTGTAAGTTATCATCTCAAATTGGATTGAGATCTTTAGTTGTCAGCTGAGAGGTAGCTCTAGAAAATGTGTCAGGAATTAAATACTTAGAGAGTGCAATAAGTACCTTTTAAATAAGTAAAGATGAGCATGGGTATTACCAACTACTTAATTATTGTAATCATGAAGTGAATCGTTTCATTACCAAAGTTGTTACTAAGGAAGGAGAAGTGCAGATGTGAAAAGTGGCCTATGTGGCTGTTTTTTCTGTGTATTTGTTTCTTGTCAGTTATGTAGTTTCCAGGCCTGTCCACTTGTTTTATTCTAAATGTCTTGTGATATGTAATCCCCTAATACTGGCTGTTGGTGATCAGACTTGCTTTCAGAATGACAGATACTCTTTATTGAACACTCACCATAGGCCAGATACTCCCTTAACAACTTTAGATACATTAATTTCTCTTAATTTGTAAAGCTCCTGTTGTGATGATTATTGTACAGCTTTTAAACTTTCTCTTAAAACCTTTTATGTTGACACTGTTTTTCTTTCTTAGACCTCCGCTTCAGTTCTAGCAGAAGAATTACATAAAGTGTAAGCCTGCCTTTCCACACTTCTCTTATGATTGTGTGTAGTCACCACTAACTGATACTTGTTAGATATAACACTTATGATTACCTTTATACTCTGATCTGTTAGGAAATACTCTAAACTAGATTTGGAGCAACTTTTGCTCTTTTTTTTTTTTTTCTTAGTGAGTTGGGACTTTAAATACTACACATTCTGTTTTCTCATCTTCCATAAACGGAGTTGGGGAAACTTTCTTTCATTTGGGTATTAGCAGTTATGTGGAAAAGATAATTGTGTTTTGGGAGTAGTGGAAGTAAATTAGTTTTGTGTCTTATAAGTAGTTAATAATTGCTGTTTCTATCTATGTGGTAGTATTCCCAAAACAAAGTTCTATGTTTTTTTGTGTGTTGTATAATCTTGCATAGACATGTATCACTGGAATTCAGAATACCTGAAATCTGGCTTTGACATTGCCAGCCTTGTGAGCTTAAACAAATTGATTAAATTCTTTGACCCTGAGTTTTAAAATAGGGGTATGCATTTTAAGGAGTTATAGTAATGCATGTGACATTTGTTAGTAAATTGAAAGGGGCTGCAGAAATGGAAGGTACAGTTACATGAGAAAATACTTAAGTTAGGATGACTCTATTTAATGTTTTTAATCCTTTTATTTGACTTGAACTCTAAATGTTTATTGAATGTACAAATATATTTCCTTTAAAGAATTGCAGAAAAGGATAAGCAGATAAAACAGACTGAAGATTCTTTAGCAAATGAACACGATCATTTAACAAGTAAAGAGGAGGAACTTAAGGTACAGTATTTCTTATAAATGGGTGCAATATTTTATAGGTCTTGAAACTGAATTACCCTGATCTTATAATCAGTATGAGTTTATATGAAGAGTGGAAAATTCTCTAGAACTTATTTGAAAAATGTCTCTTTTCTAAACTACAAAATTCTTTTTAGCTAAGAAGAAAAATTCAAAGAGCTTTTTTTTTTTTTTGTGACCGGTAAGTGGATCACAACCCTTGGTGTGGTGTTGCCTGCACTGCGCTCAGCCAGTGAGCACACTGGCCAGTCCCATATAGGATCCGAACCCGCGGCTGGAGCGTTGCTGTGCTCCCAGCGCCACACTCTCCCGAGTGCGCCACGGGGCCGGCCCTCAAAGAGCTTTTTTCACATGATATAATTCACCATAATTGATTGAGAAATATGCTAAATAACAGCAACTGATCAGTTTCTCTTTCTGATTTAGGAAGTTTGTAATTTGAGACCTTTGCTTAATTCTTATGTAGAAGAGATGCTTTACGAACTTTAAAGTTGGCTATATTAAATGTTTTTAATATTCTTTTTCCTTATTCTAGGATATACAGAATATGAATTTCTTATTAAAAGCTGAAGTGCAAAAATTACAGGCCCTGGCAAATGAACAGGTAGGTCTTTATTGCTTTTGAGCATTTACCTCAGACTTTCAATTTGTCATTCTTATTTCCATTGATAATGCAAGCCTCAGTTTTATTTCTGTAAATAATAAATATAAGGGTTACTTGTGTTTAGCTGGGTAGTGTCTTCTGCTGCCATTTAATCCAAAAGAATACACCTTTTGTTAAGATAAAAGTTAATTGTTAGAAGTACAAAGTATTAGACAGCAAGGTATATTACAGAAATGTATTATATTGCTATAACTTTATTCCAAATATATGCAAATATAACTTTTTAATATGTAAAAACAAATGAAAAAGTAGTTTTGAGTAATTCCTGAGAAATGACATATGTCTCATCTCATTTTAAACACAGGCTGCTGCTGCCCATGAAGTAGAGAAGATGCAAAAAAGGTGATTAAAGTATTGCTGTAGGGCTGGCCCTGTGGCTCACTTGGGAGAGTGCGGTGCTGATAAAGTATTGCTGTACATAGAGCCATTCATACATTCATGTTCCAGTACAATTGTTACAGAAAATAGTGCTGCTTGTAACTGATAGTTGTGCATATAATTTATGTAAGCTTTCTGAGTGAAGTATGAAGTATTTTAATTGATTTTTTTCCTCGTAGCATTCATGTTAAGGATGATAAAATAAGATTGCTTGAAGAGCAGCTACAATGTGAAATTTCAAGGAAAATGGAAGAATTTAAGGTGTGTGGTTAAGCTTGTAAACTCAGCTTTCTTAGAACAACATTGTATAATTTTCAGTTGAAGAAAATGTAGAAATACTACTTTTTGTATGAAATCACCTTGAAACAATGTTTCTATAGTATATTTGGGGACTTCTGTACACAATGAATTTTATCATAGATATTTTTCCTCTGCAGTTTTCAGCTTGTTTGTATTTGTGTCGGTTTTATCTGTCTCCATTGTTGCTGTAGTTCTAGTCTCTGGTCATGGGCAACCAGTTTGAGTATCTGAGTACCAGGGTGCCTCTTGTGTCCAATGAAATTTGAATTTTTTTTTTTTTTAAAGATGACTGGTAAGGGGATCTTAACCCTTGACTTGGTGTTGTCAGCACCACTCTCTCTGAAGTGAGCTAACCGGCCATCCCTATATAGGAATCCGAACCCATGGCCTTGGTGTTATTAGCACCACACTCTCCCAAGTGAGCCACGGACCAGCTCTAGATTTGAATTCTTATGTATAACTCATCTGTAACTTTAGGAGTACTCAAAGAAGTAATATGGGTTTGATTGTTCAAAAACTCATTCAAATGATTGCTTTATTACCTTTTTTCTTAAAAAAAGCAGTAAATTGAGATTCTTTTTTTCAGATTCTAAATGACCAAAATAAAGCATTAAAATTAGAAGTTCAGAAGCTACAGACTGTTGTTTCTGAACAGGTAAGGCTTTTCATGAATTACGAGGTAGAAATATCCAGTATATAACATCTGGTTCATGAAAGATAATGATATTTCATCAGTTGTAACCCCCCCCCCCCCAAACCCCCCCCAAAATTTATCATCTCTCTGAAATCTGGATGTATCTTTTAGTTTCTGGTTATAGTTTGGTTAGCAGCATTTTTAATTTTTTAGTGTTAAATAAAATATTAGTTGTAAGATGTAACATTGGTGAATTGGATTAGATAAAGTATGATAGGTTTTTGTTTTGGGGTTTTTTTTTGGTGTTAATTCTTACCGAGAAAAGCAGAATGTGGTTTTTGTGTATTAAGTTACCAGAGATTTTGAAACATCTAATTCAGTATATAACTTCATGGAGGTAAAACAAATGCCTAGAAACTTCTGAATCTCTCCCAGATTTCCTGTATTCTAGTAGTACCCAGGTGCTGGCCACTCTTACCTAGATTTAAACAGAAAACCTGAATCTTTTAAAACCTTTTATCTTCTGTTCTTTACTAAGGATGATATTTTCCAGTATTAGACAAGAGTAAAACTACTAGCTTTAAGTTTTTCTTTTCCTTCAAGATTGTATGAATTGAGAATTGCCATTCTAATATCTTATGTAAAATTCCTTATGACATTTCTGGAAGTTAATGTTTTTTTAAAAAAATTCTCATATTTCTATTTTATTGAGTTGGCCTTCTATCAATTATAAGGTTTCTGTGCACTTTTAGATGTTCTGTTAAAATGGTGGCTTTTAATATGAAATGGATTTTCGTTATGAAGAATAGTTAACAGTCCACAGAACAAAATTTCACAGCCACATTTTCGGATTTATTTAAAAGAATTATTTGATATGAGGGGAAACTCATTTTGTGGTACTAATTTAAGATTTCCTATTGGGTAGTTCTTAGAATTGTTCTTCTAGTTCCAAGAGCTTTTTTTTTTTTTTTTTTTTTTTTTTTATCTAGAAAGTATATGACTGTGATGCAGTGTTTTTGGTTGTAATTGTGACTTATCCCTTTTATCTTGGTAGACCAAAGAACCATCTTTTAGGTTTTTTTCTCTAGTCATTTTTATTGCTAGTGCTAGTGAAAGAGGAGATGATGATTAGTATAATTTTAATTTCTTTCATTTCCATTTTAACTCCTTTCTACCCAGCAGTCAGAATTCGAAATGAACAGTTTAGTTATGTAAAATCTTAAGTCATTTTACCACATGGATTTTTATTCTGGAGGAAAGGATTGAGTTTACTGAAGCAGAAACCAATAATGGTGCCAAGTTGTTGTTCCTTCAGGTGTAGGAAGCAGAAGGACAACAGGTACCAGGTAAGGTAACCTGTTTATACACTAAGGAAAGGAGGTCTGTATTTGGATGTGGGCCTGTGAATGGTCAGATAATGCAAATAAATCAGTCACTAAATTCTCATTTACTGAGAATAAAGTAAAACTCAGGGGTGGGGAGTAACACACCCTGATTTTTTAGTGAAGGATCAGCATGACTTTTTATTCTTATTCTAGTAGATTTTTAAGATTCAGTGGTTGAAATTATTAAGTAAAACTACAATAGGTTTCTTCTCTTTGCCCTGCTGCCTGGTTGTATTGTACTGCAGAAGAATTAATTATTGTATAAGATGTAGTTTTGAAAATCATCTAGGGAGGAAACAGGATTAGATTAGACCAATAAAGTGTGAAGTAAAGTAAAAATGTTGGATAGATGCTAAGCTGGTCAGTCTTGTGAAATTGAATATTTGATGAGCTGAAGATCAAGAGTACTTGTTAAACTGTTAACTTCATTAAAGGAAATTTGATTCATCAAATATTTATTTACTAGTTAAGTATATGCTAGGTACTTATCTACATGCTGAGGTTATAGAGATGAAAGCCTTGATTCCTGCCCTCAGAATAAGGGTTAGTGTGGAGGTAGATTTGTAAAACAGAAAAGTGTAATGAATAAAATTCTTGAACCACTTGTAGAGGTTTAGAGGAAGAGATAATGTATTCTATTTAGGGAGAGGTGGAGAGGCAGCACAGGGGACAGTTAAACCTGATTTTGAAAAATTGCCACAAATTTGCCAGATGGCTAAGGGGCAATCCAGCCTGAGGGAATACAGTGTTCACATGGCAGTGTGTGGCAAAATTGGTATATTCAGAGCATATTGGTAAATTGCAGAAGTGTGAAGTATGGAATACAGAGAGAAGAAGATTTGCTAGGGCCTAATTATGGAGGACTTTGTATGCTTTGTAAGGATCATGAACCTGATCTAGCTTGTGGGTAAGCCACTGAAGGGTGTTGCAAGGACGAATGAATGTTTAGTCTAACATTTTAGAAAGATCACTGTGGTAACAATGAGATATTTGATTTTATGTTGGGGAGAAGTAGGACTGACTAAAGTTATAATACAACTAAATGATTAAGGTGCAGGTAACTTGTACTTAATAATTTTAAGTCTTTTTGTGAGATGGCATTCATTGAAAATAAAGATGGACAAACACCATCTTCGTGAAAGATTTGTAAACATATGGCATGATTTATTTTTCACAGTATAAATCTGATTTAATATACTTTTGACAACTCCTATCTCCTTTCTGATTGTATCACAATTTTTTCCCATGGGGAAATTCTTTCTATACCCCTCAAAAAACAATCCTTTCAAACAAACTAGAGGCTGGGAGAAGAATTAGGGTATTATGATATTTGAGGTGAGTAAAGCTGAGGGCCTAAACTTAGGCATTGAAGAGAAGGGGTTAATTTTAGAAATATGTAAGAAGTAGAATCTTAGGACATGGATTTGGCAATGGAAAAATCAATATTATTTGTGAAAATGGTTCTAATAACATTGGGAAAAAAATAAGAAACTAACAAGATTAGAGGAGTGTGTAGGGGGTAAAGAGGGTGAACAGAAGAGAATGTTCAAGGAAAAAGATCCCCAAACCCATTTGGTCAGGCTGCTCAGCTGCCTGAAAGTCTGGGAATGCCGAGGGGGAAGCCCCGCTTCCAGACACATAATAGATTATAATAGTGGAGATATATGTGTTTGGGGGGGATGCTAGAAGGGCCAAAGGGAGGGAGACAGCTTACATGTCATGTTTTTTTTTTGTTTTTTTTTTTTTTCCTTTTTGTCTTTTTTCGTGACCGGCAACGGGATCACAACCCTCAGCGTCGCGCCCGCACCGCGCTCAACCAGTGAGTGGACCGGTCTCTATATGGGATCCGAACCCTCGGCGGGAGCGCCACCACGCTCCCAAGCGCCGCACTCTACTGAGTGCGCCACTGGGCCGGCCCTACATGTCATGTTTTAATGCTTTATAAAGAGAACATGTTTGTGTGGCTTCCATAGTTTACAATCAATTTAAGAACTAAATCTATATCTTGGTCTGGGTTGTGGTTACCTAATAGCTACATTATTAAAAATTCATTGAGTTGTAAACAGGATTTGTGCATTTGCCTATGTAAATTTTATGCCTTAGTATGGGGGAAAACCAATTTAAAAAATGAATAAAGGCTCTTTTCTGACTAGCAAGGCCTTAGAGCCTTGGATTTTTTATATTTGAAGAATGAATATAAAGGAAGTGAGGCATATTCTCTCATCCCCAGTTAAGGTTATCTTTTACAGTGATTAAAAAATTATTTGGAAGATACTATATCATTTTGCCAGCCCAGTTTATACTTCTTCTTTTTCTGTGTCTTTCATATAGATGCATCTTTTCCGTTTTCTTGTGTTTTCTGAATTAAATAATTCTGTTATTATTAGCAGCCTTCAAATAAGGGTAATTTTCCTAAATTTTACATCTGTTTAAAACCCTAAAAAATTTTCAGAGATTTCTATTTCTCAACTATTTTTACCTCATGCAAACTTGGTAAAATTAAACTCTTTTTGGTGATTTTTATTTTAGCCTAATAAAGATGTTGTGGAACAAATGGAAAAATGGTAAGAGTTTAAATTTTTCTTTTTATATTCTGATGACTCCTTTCTACCAAATTTGAGATAACAGAATTATTACCTACATTAACTAGATTCTTAAAATTCTCTTTGTACTTAGTAATGGACAAAAGTGTGGTATGCTATTGTTTATTTGGGATTACATTATGGTTTGTGGGTGTCATGTGTGGCAATGATTCACTTGTTTAGGCTAACATGTAGAAGCATGTGTTACTTGCGCACATTTTACTTATTGGTGAACAGGAATACCCTCAGACCATCATGAAAGATCTTCAGAAACCTTCTGGAATTAAAAGTTTACAAGGAATGTTGGACAAAGGATTTGATCCATGTAAAATATTTAGGAGTGATGTTGTTTACCTTGAAAAAATAGTTTATGTATATGTTTTAAATTTATAATTTCAGCATTCAAGAAAAAGATGAGAAGTTAAAGACTGTGGAAGAATTACTTGAAACTGGACTTATTCAGGTGGCCACTAAAGAGGAGGAACTGAACGTAAAGCATTTTACAGATTTGTTTTCCTTGTGGTTATTCAGTAAACATGAAGGGGTTTCATTGTAATTTGTGCAAGGTTTTCCCCATAGCTTTTAAACTTAGTATTAGTTACTTACATTTTATAAATTAATATAATGTCTTTTTTAACTAATTTTAAGATTTATTTTAGAAATACAAAAATGCATAGTTGATTGTAGTATTCACTGCCTTAATGAGGTGGATACTATTGTTACAGTTTCTAATATATGCTTCTCCACTTGCATCCATGTCCAAATTATAACCAAATGATAATTAGCAGACTTCATAATTTCATGAAGTTATTAGAGGCCAGAGAAAGAATAGACTGCAGTTCTATTTTATGGTTATTATTAGCCTTAATTAACTTAATTAGGATAGGGTTGCTGGAAGAAGTAAAAGCTGTATTTGAATTTAGGGAGAGCCATGGCTTAATTGACAAATGGTATACTATGTGTTTTTGAGGTTGTGGAAATACAGGTAGAAGTATTTGTGGGCATAAGTGAATTAAAAATCTATTTGGAGGGCCGGCCCGGTGGCGCACTCGGTAGAGTGCGGTGCTTGGGAGCGCGGTGGCGCTCCCACCAAGGGTTCGGATCCCATATAGAGACCGGTCCGCTCACTGGTTGAGCGTGGTGCAGGCGCGACACCGAGGGTTGCGATCCCGTTGCCGGCCCCGGTACGGGTGCAACACCAAGGGTTGCGATCCCGTTACCAGTCATGAAAAAAGACAAAAAGGAAAAAAAAATCTATTTGGATAGCTATGGAAATTACAGAATTGCAAACATGGAAAAAGTGGGATTTTTAAGCAGCTGAAGAAAAATGAGAATCTGCTATATTTTGAAGCTAGCTATTTTTTTCTGAAAATGAAAATATGTTGTGCTTTATATGTCTTTGAAAAAGGCAATAAGAACAGAAAATTCATCTCTGACGAAAGAAGTTCAAGACTTAAAGGCTAAGCAAAATGATCAGGTAATGTATATAGTAGAGATATACTGTTCTAATAAACAACAGGCAAACCTGTTACATAAAAACATACCAAGTCTGTTGTTTGTCTGTTTCTCCTTCTCCAAGATGGAATCTGTCCATTAGAGTTTTAATCAAGTCACTAGTCATGCATAGATTATCAATAATAGAGGCTGCAACTTATTGAGTACTTACTATATGCTAGGCACTGTGTAGAGTACTCTAGATAGGATGTCATTGCTTCTTACTGCAGTGATATAAAAGTTTTGAGTTTACAAATATAAAGTAAGACCCAAAATAATAAGTAAAAGAGCCTGCCTGACATTAGGCAATTTCTTAGTTGTATTTTCTCTTTATCTGGTTAGAATTATTAATTAAGTAATTTTAACATTTATCTAAGGATTTTTTGTTGACCCTCACTTCTGAGTGGTCTTAATGCCACTTACTTTGAAAATACTATTCATTTTCATCATGACATTAAAAAAATTTAGAAATAATTAACTCCTGGGTTTACTTTTTCCATTTGGATTTTGGTATATTGGGAAATTTAAAGATAATGTGCTTTTCTATATCTGACCCACTTATATTTTGAGCTAATTACTAAGGGATACTTTCTCATTTCCAGGTTTCTTTTGCATCTCTAGTTGAAGAACTTAAGAAAGTGTAAGTGATAATAATATTATAAACTGATCTGTCTGATTTGGTTCATTTTCTTAGTCCTCATAAATTTAGTTTTTTTGAGCAGTTGGGACAGCTGATGTATGCAAATTTAACTTTCATGCAAGAATTTCTTTGATGGAATAAGGAAACTTAGCTGTGCATTTCCAAATTCAATGTGAGCTTAAAAAAATCTGTTTCGATAATGAATTCCATTTATTTTCTTATGGCATCAAACTGTTAATTTTCTGTTTCTGCAGAAGGAACTATTAACAGACAGGTTATATTAGAGAGATCAGTTCCTTGCATGTATCTTCTTCTTGAGGTATCTGTAAAGTTTGATGCCATAATTGCAAATAAGTTAAGCCACAGCGCTCAGAACCCTAGAAGCCAGTACTGTGTTATTGAACAGAACTTGATTCTCCCTGGTGTTCTGTAGGATTCAACTCTTATATTCCCTATATATTCCCTATGTACTTTCAAAACACATCACTAGCCTCTTGTGGCATAGCCTTCAGCCATCTGGTAGTTGCTGATAAATTCTCATTGAGGAGTGTTTTTTCCATTGTGTCTGTAAAGATGAGTTGCTATTTTACTTAAAATTGTAATGGGTTGATTAGGAGAGGCTTTTCATGATTTGGTGCTATTTTTATATCTTATTAGGTAGATCTTGGTGATTTCTATTTAAGTTAATACTGCATTTCATTATTTAAGGATCCATGAGAAGGACGGAAAGATCAAGTCTGTGGAAGAGCTTCTGGAAGCTGAACTTCTCAAAGTTGCTAATAAGGAGAAAACTGTTCAGGTAGTGGGAGAGAGAGCACTGTTTTGTTTTGTTTTGTTTATCAACTTTAGTTAATATCATTTAATTTCATGTGTTTGTCTGTGCATTGCATTTTATGTCAATATCTGTGTTTCCATTGTCCAATATTGTCTGTTTTGTCATTGTCAAGGATTTGAAACAGGAAATACAGGCTCTAAAAGAAGAAATAGGAAATATCCAGCTTGAAAAGGCTCAACAGGTAAAAATCCCAGAGCCAAAGCATGACAGATTTGTTAGTGTATGTGTTACTTATGAGCTATTTGGTTTTTTTCTTGTTACTCAGAAAAAAATCTTTTAGTAATGTGCTATAAGTATATCGGGTTATGTGCCTTTTATTTCTTTGCCTGAATTGAGAAAGCGTTCTTGATATTTTAATCCATAAAGTAAAAAAAAAATTTAACTGTTAAAGGTATTCATGTTTCATTTTAGTTTGCCAACCTAAAACACAAAACACTTTGGTAAATCTCCTTTTAGTGCCCCTTCCCTGCGCCCCCTCCCCCACCTTTTTTTTTTTTTAAATCGCATGGACCAAAATGTTTTATTGTAGAATATGTATTGCCCAACCTCTGCCTGTAGAACATAGTATAAGTTTCATTGGGGGATTTGAGAGGTCAATGTGATTACTGGAAATAGATGGATTTTGGTGAAAAAATAGTGAGAATGCATGGAAGAGATGATTCATTCATCCAACAGATTCATTTAGCAATATTTATTTTCTCCTACTTGTCAAAGCATTATGCTAGTGATTGGCAACAATATATTGAGCAAAACGAGATACAGTGAAAAGATCATATTTCTCTGGTATAGATTAAGAGTTCAGGAAGGCTCCTCCTGAGGAACTGACATCTAAGCCAAGATCTGAAAGGGCTATGAAAAGAGAGTGGGGGATAAAAGGTACTGTTGACTGTGTCTGATTTAAAAAAAAAAAAAAAAAAAAAAAAAAACGAAGGACAATATAGAGTGCTGTTGACTAGTCGGCCTTGAAGTCTGTGATGAAGAGCTTTGATAGGGTAGGGAGGTATGTGGAGTTAACATCTGAATTTTCACAGTTTTAGAAGTATCACATTATTTATACTTAAAATTCATAACTATCTTCCTTGTCTCCCCCTCTGTCTTATATTTTTAGTTTGTTATTTTTACTGTCACTGGAATTAAGAAAAAGGTGAAATCAACATCTCATTTGGACATGAAACATTCAACTAGAGTCTTTGTAATTTGAAGTGTACAAATTAAAAAATATAAAGATTTTTATCATAAAACAGAATAAGGTAAATTGAAATGGTTATGAATTGCCTTTCCTGTCTTCTTACATTTCAGTTATCTATCACTTCTCAAGTTCAGGAGCTTCAAAACTTGTAAGTACCATTTCTCTCATTTCCTTTTAATGTCTTTTCCGTAAGTTAAGTACAAATATAATGAAAATCATAGCTTGTTTTTATTTAATTTCAAGTAATATTTTAGAAAATATCAAATGATCTAAAATGCCTTAAGGTCTTAAATTTTTCGTTATGATTTAACCTACAGGTTTTTTGGTGGGAAGGAGGTGGGATGGGAAGTCTTACTTTTCATGATTTTTAATCTGAATATGACCTAAAACTGAGATGTTGCTCTTTACCCATTTTAATAGCCATGTGAAACTGGCTATATATTTCATACCCAGAGTTGTAATAAGCTGTCTAAATTTGCTGGTATTGACTTAAGCAGGGTGATATACGATAGGAGTAGAGCTACCCTAATTTATTCAGTATTTGGATCTTCAGCAATAGAACAGTTTTCTTTAATCATCCTATACTTCCTAATTTGATTATGTCTTCAAAATCTTGTATGCCTTTATACTTAAAATGATTTTTAGTTTATTTTAATGAGTTTGAGACTGTGAGTAGTACCTAAAATAAACTTTTTCAGTCTCCAGTATTTTTGGTTTTTTATGGTGTAACATTTTCATTTATTTTTTTATTAATTGTCAGATTAAAAGGAAAGGAGGAACAGATAAATACCATGAAGGCTGTTTTAGAAGAGAAGGAGAGAGACCTAGCTAATAGAGGGAAATGGTTACAGGTGAGAAGTTGAAAACTAAAGTAAAAAACACCTTTTTAATACTTTTTAATATCAGTTCAATTCATTCCTATTCTTTTTAAGGATCTTCAAGAAGAAAATGAATCTTTAAAAGCTCATGTTCAGGAGGTAGCACAGCATAACTTGAAAGAGGTATAGTGAAAACAAATTACCAACATACTACATAAGGAATGAGAAATCTTTAATGTATTAGAAGTAAAGAAATTAATATGTCCTGAGTTTCTTTGCCAGAAAAATTTTTGTACCATAATTTTGTTGCTATTAAAATAAGTTAACTTTTATTCCTGTCAAGTCATACTTAACTGCCTGTTTCGTCAACCTAAGCATAAAAGCATTTCCTTATCTTTTTCATATGTACTCTTAAGCTCATCTGAACTGTCCATGTTTAATTGGTGTATTGATCTGTAATCCTTTAAGAAATAAATACTAAAAATTACGTTTAATTAAAAAAAACTCACTCTGTTTTTGTCTTATACACAGCCCAGTCTTAAATTTACCAAATGTAGTTATGTTTTTATTTTATTGGTAGGTGATGGTATATATATGTTATAATACCTGGGATTTTTTTTTTTTTTATGTTAACATTAAAAATATGCATCTGTTTCTTAGGCATGTTCTGCAGCACGTTTTGAAGAACTTGAGATTTTGTAAGTATACTTTTAGCCGGCATTTAGAAGAGGAACTTCTCATTATTTTCTAGAATGTGTTTGAATATTATAGTGGATTTCTTCCAAGTCATTAACTTTATTGTTAAGTAGGAATCATAGTCCAGAGGCAATTAAACTCTGTTATAATAACACAGAGGCTCTTTAAATGCTTTCAAATACCTGAAGACTTTATCCTTCCCAAGCCCATCAAACTCATTTTTACAAATGTTCCTTCTGCAAAAAGTTTTTTTTTTTTTTTTTTTTTTTTTTTTTTTTTTTTTTTTTACC